ATCAGGTGGAGTTAAACCTTGGTCAAGTTTCCTTACTCCACGGGTTTGCCTAGTAGTAACTAAGAACACGGTTGTTAGTCAATTGGTAGTTTGCTTTCCAGTTATAATAATCCCTCAAAAAAAATGGTCATTCAATCCATGATTGTTCGTGGGATACTGCTGTGTGGAAATGCCTGCCGCGATTTGCCCACAAAATAAAAGGATTGTGTTTGTCTGAAGAGCATCTAGTTTTTCAGATAATAGAAGCCCAGATTCCAATGACTGATCATTATATCGCATTATATGATTATATCACAAAGTGCTGTGAAGCGCTTTGAGACATTTCTACGATGTGGTAAGGCGCTGTGTCAAATGGAAGGATTATTGTAATATGCTGCACCATTGTAAATGCAGTCGAATAAATCTTTGCACTGAAGACTATGAAAACACTTGAAGCTTCAGCCCCTTGGGACATTCTCCCGACATGTAAGGTGCTATATAACATAATACAACATGTAGGAGTAGGCCATTCGGCCCTCCGAGCCTGCCCCGCCATTCAATCATGGCTGATCTTCTAATCTAACTCCAGCTAATAACCTAACCCTGCCTTATCCCCATATCCCTTAATCCCTTTTACAATAAGAAATCTATCTATCTCAGTCTGCAATTTGTTGTTGTCGTTGTTGTTGAAAGTTTTGAGCTCTAAGGTTCAGCTTTCTTGCCCAGGTGTTGTTTTGTTGCTTAGACATCCAACCAGTGCACTTGTTGACATCACTCTGTTCTGTGCTCTGTGTTTGACATATTCTTGGTGCACCTGCGATATAATCATCACAGTCATTGGAATCTGGGCTTCTATTATCTGAAAAACTAGATGCTCTTCAGACAAACACAATCCTTTTATTGTAGTTTATGGTCAATATTGAGAATAATGTTTGAAGTTTCAGTGAGCTTTTATTGCTGCATCATTATTATTTTGTCTAAAATGCAGGTTGCATTAATTGCCCATGTCAAACAGGCAAAACAGACAGCCCTTAATTAAGTAATAAACCAATGATAATGATTCTGTATTACTTATGGGCTATTAGCCCAACCTGAAATTTATTTCCCTGTTGTTTTCAACATTATTGTGAAAATGTACCAAATTGCTTGACCCAGAAGTGGATATGGATAAGATCAATTGGACATCACATAACTCGGTACAGACCAGAGATTGAATATCAGTTACTCAGTGAACCTTCCATTGTCCCTTTAACCAATACTATACATTTTAAAACATGTTTTGCCCACAAAATACGGATATCACAGTGTTGGGATTAATCTGACCAGTTTCTGTTCACAGATGATACTTCCTGATATTACCTGTTGTAGAGGAGCCTATTCTACGGAATGCATCATCAATGTGGATACTTGCAGGCTTTAGCATTCTCACATCTGGATCAGAAAGTTGTGGGTTCAAGCCCCACGTCAGAACTTTGAGCTTATAGTCTAGGCTGACACTGCAGTGTAGTGCTGGGGGTATACTGCGTTGTCAGAGATGCTGTCCTTCGGATAAGATGTTAAACTGAGGTCTTTGACAATGCAGAGCATCCCCAGCACCTCACGGGAGTGTCTGTAAGATTTCCCAGTAAATCACGCAGGTCAGAAATGTAAGTTCGAGCCAAAGATCTCATTGGAGATGAAGGCCCACGCATCTGTGTAATATCTAGGGAATTCAGCGCAGATAGTTCTGGCCTTGCTGGTGAGCATGCTGTAGTTATGGGGTAATATTGCACATACTCCCAAATTTTCCCCATTTTCAGTGCACATTGGAAAATTACAGCAAGTGGCTGTTTGTGGGACGTTGCTCTATGCAAATTGGCTGCCGCGTTTCACCCAGAAAATACACAGTTGATCCACGTACAATATATCCTGTGAAATGCTTTGAACACGTCGTGACAACTTGATAAGGCGCAATATCAAATGCAAGGATTATTATTAATATTACTGTAGTACTGTAGATCCCATACCTGTGTTGTGTTCTGACCACACCCAGACTGCAGTTCTGCTCACATAGAGTCTGCCACCAGAGGGATCTACTCTCAAATTGCACCACTCCCCAACAGGTTGTTCTGCTGAAGCTGTCTCTCGGCTATTCTGTGTACTTTTCTTCATCAATAAAACAGGATTAAAATTACATTTTCCTTTCTACAGAAAAATATTTCTTTTTAAAGATTTAGTGGTACATACTACTGTGGGAATGCACAACACAACTGGAGGGTTTTTTGACCAATTACTATTAATGTCAGTGTTTGCTCTTTCAATAAAGCCATATTTTGGAATTGCAATTCCATTGCCATCTTCCCCATCACTCTTTATTATATTGGTGAGTGACGTTAGGTCCTGCTCACCCACATTAACCATTAATGAATAGGTTCCACTAGGGAATGAGGATTGTCCCCGTAAACAAGCCCCAATCCCCCCCAAAAGGGCACTGTTTTTGTTGATTATACGTTCTCCCCAACAACAACTTGCATTTATATAGCACCCCTCATGCAGGGTAGTGTCTCAGAGGGCTTAACAGTGGCACAGCTTGACGGGCAGGAGACCATAGGCATGGTTGCAGAGGAAGGTCTTCAGGTGTGGTACAGGAAAATAGGGGGCAAGGCGGAGGGATTGAGTTGAGAGTTCTGGGACATATTGTCTGAAAGCATGGCTGCCGATTGGAAATCAGACAGGATGAGTGATGTATAGAAGGCCCGAGCCAGCTGAGAACCGGGCGGGTAAAGGAGTGAGGTGTAAAGCAGGCGAGATAGGGAGGGTCTAGGGCATGATGTGACATGTTGGTGAGTATGAGGGACTTGAAATCAATCTGTTCTGCTACAGGAAGCCAATGGAGCCTAACAAGGACTGGGGTGATCGAGATATGGAGTTTGGTACGGGTGAGGATATGGGTGGTGGAGTTTTGAATAAATTGGATTTGATTTTATGAGTGGTGGAGCAGGGGAGACCGGCATGGAGGGCATTGGAAAAATCAAAACAGGAGCTAAAGGAAGTCCTTTCCCCATTTCTGATACATTGAATTTTCCGAGACCTCGGACACCAAGACTCAACATGAGATCTATGTTGAGGGAACCCTAGAGTATCTTTATGGTATTATTATTATTTATTATTATTAAATTCTTTTTCTCAGATGTTTATTTCCTCACTCTTCCTAAAGCGCTTTCTGAGCCATCGCCAATGCAAATGAAGCCATGTTTTTCAGCAAAAATAATAAAATGATGATTATAATAATAGTCCTTGCATTTGATATAGGGTCTTATTATTGGCATCAGAAAGATGCTGTCCTTCTTGCCAAGTGCCAGAATCTGCACACAATTGTTCTATGAACATTTTTTGGTGGTATTTGCCGACGAGTAGAAAACGCATATCAACGGCAGATTATTTAACCGATTTCTCTTACCAAATTAATCTACTTTTTGATTTGGGTCAAATGGGCTCCCTCTGCGTTATGCATTTCTCCAGTATTATCAGTGTTTCCCTCAATTTTCTCATTTGTGGTTGGAATGTGGAATTCTCTGTCACGTTGTTGAAACTGAGTCCATAATTATGAAAAGGTAAATAGATACATAATTGATGGAACATAAAGGACAAGAGGGATAGCAAGTAGAGTATGGGATTAGGTTAGCTAGCTCATGTGGCGAAAAACACCAGTACAGGTGTGAATGGTCTCTGTGATAATAATAATCCTTGCATTTGTTATAGTGATGTATCACATCGTTCAGACATCTCAAATCGCTTCACAGAATATATTGTAAAGTGAATTGACTGTATATTTTTGTAGGCGAAAAGCATCAGCCAAATGCGCACAGCAGTGTCCCACAAACACTCACGGATTGAGTGACCAAATTATTATTCTTTTGAAGGGATTATTATCCCCAGAAAGTGATCTGCCAATTAATTGACAAGTTCTACTTACTGCTCGGTTAACAGAGGTGTGTGGAGTATAGAAACTTGTTTCGCCGTGCCCAGGAATTGAACCTGGGTGAATGGCCTGCTTCTGTTTTGTATTTTCTGATTCTATAACATCATGGGGAGAAATATCCCAATGTGCTTTTTGTTCATCTTTTCAAGGCGCCCTCTAAGGCAGGTTTGAATGCTTTACATTGTTGACATGGTACAACTTATCCAAGTTCAGGCAACAATGTTTGTGATCTAACCACTCGATCCATGGCAAGCTTCCTGCGAGAGTGGTCTGCGCAAATTCACCTTTACAAGCATAATTCCCTTCAGATGATATCACAATTTGTCTTACAAAACAATTCATTAAGTTCTTTATTTTCAGTCAACAGGACACTACGAAGTGTATAAATGGAACACATAGGCAGTTTGCTGAGACAGAGACAAGGCAACCCTGCTATAATCCTGGGCTCATCATGTTAACCACCACATTAATAATAATCCTTACGTTTGGTACAGCACCATTCACGTCAGGAGGACATACCAAAGTGTTTCACAGGGTATACTGTAAAGTGCAAGTGACCGTGTGTTTTGTAGATGAACGTTAAATGGAGCGCTAACAAATGGCCGAGTTCCGGGCCTTCAGATCACCACTGATAACACTTCCTGTGTGCTTTGCACAAGAGGCCCTGCTGAAGTCACTTCCTGTATGAATGGACAGCACCACTTCCTGCGTATGTGGCACACATGTTTGACCATCAAGGAGTGATATTTGCATTGCTTCATGCGCCCCACACAAGAAGTGACATCAGCTAAGACCTGACAATGTGGAAGTTAGCCATGTTTTTTTTCTTCCTGTGGCATTGAATAAGGGGGTTGCCCAATAGTTCCGCCAATGAGGTTGGCCATAACCCCAATCGTACCTTAGTAAGTCATTTGTGGTGAGTACATGTCTTGTGAGGGTATATTTCAGAATAATCTTATCAAGGGATTGCCTATTATTATCTCTTGTGACCGATGGGGAACAACTAATCTCTGATTGTCTACCACTGACAAAGGAACAACAATTCTTTCACGTGAGGATCTCTACTCTATGCTAGTTTATTACAGAATAAGTAAAAGAACACTAAAATATCATGGCATTTTAGATGATCTGTATCCGATATCAATCAAAACATCCAATTTGCACAGACCCATTGCTGCATATGTATTTGCATAATATCCACAAGTCACATGATTTGTAACACACTCCCTCCCCCCTCCCTCCCCCCACTGCACCAAAAGAACAACACTTTATAAAAGATCACGTCACATTGTACTATCATAGAAAAGGCAGAATAATCTGCTGCTTATTACAGTGATGATGCATTCCACATCATGAAGAACATTAATCATTTGAGATATGTGCTGAATGACAAGGTCATAATATCAACCTTCAATTGAACGTTGTGCACATTTTAAACTAATCTTTTGTTCATATCAGCTAACACTAGTCATATTACCGCTTACTCCCACAGCTCACTGAACGGACCATTTACTTCCAAATAGAGGTAGACAAATTATTTAGCACATAAAGAAACAACACAAGTACTGGCTAGTGACTGGTGAACTACAAAATGGGATAGAACTTATTCAACAGCAGTAATCACACAATGACAACCTTCTATAATGTCTCTTTTCTCTCACGCCACTCTTTCCCCTTTTATTAATATTGACAATTGGTGAATGGAGATATTGGAGGCTTATTCCACTGTTAAATGTAGCGAAGTACTTGATCAAGTTTGGACTATTCTTCTCCATTCAATAGTTTGTCGAATTTGCCCCTTCTGTGTTTATAAATAACTAATGAGATTTTAAACTATAAATAAAATGACATCATAAATGTATAAGGTATAAGTATATGTCATTCATCACTTATAAGGGTAAAGTAGCAAATTATCCTAAATCGGAGAGCAGAGCTGAATAGCCTAGCGTTCACTACATTCAGCAAATGCAAAGGAACAACCACCAGTGTGTCTAGATTAAGGCTCTGCTTGTGTGCGTGCGTTCATCACTGCAATTCATCATTGTCAATGTTTCTTTCCCATACGACTTCCAGCAAGGCTGAGTGCTAGACAAACATCTCCTTGTTGATCCACATCAGGCTGCGGGTCTCGTTGGGCTTACACTCGTACTCAATGCTTCCAAAGCTGTTGCCCCATTGACAGTGGTCTCGCTTGTGGTAGTTGTAGTACTTCACCTGCCACACAGTCTCAAAGGTGCCGATGTCTTCAAACTGCAGAGGAAGGCAGAATGCAAAAGATTTGATTCAATAGACTTAGCAAAAAACATCAAATACTTCAGATTTTGGAGTCCTGTAGCATATTGATTATGGCACTTGCCTCGCAAGCAAGGTTTGATTCCCAGGCAGGGCGAAACCTTAGGAAAGTTTCCTTAATCCACACGCCTCTGTTTACCTCACAGTAAATAGGAACCTGCTTGTTAGTCGATTCGCAGATCGCCTTTCTGGGATAATAATCCCTTAAAAAAAAATTTGATCACTCAATCCACGACCGTTTGTGGGTCACCGCTGTGCGCAATTTGCTACCACATCTCGCCCTCAAAATATAGTCAATTCACTTAACAGTCTATTCTGTGAAGCGCTTTGAGAAGTCTCGAATACGTGATAAAATGCTATACCAATTGCAAGGATTATTTAGATTTCCAAATCTAAGACCTAGCTCACAATTCTCTGGTTCCGAATGGCGCCAGGTGTCAGCCTGGCTCAGCTGGAAGTACTTACGCCTCTGAGTCACAGATTGTGGGTTCAAGCCCCAGGTCGGGACTTTGGGCTCATGGTATAGATTGAGACTCCAGTGCAGTGCTGACGGGATCACTGCATTGACATGTATTGTGCTTCAGATGAGGCATTAAACTGAGACTCCTTCTTCTTCCTGTTCAGGTGGAAGTTTTAAATATCCCATGGCATTATTCAAAAATAGATGCGACTTTCTTCTATTGTCCCAGATAAGATTGCTCTTGTACTTCAGAGCTCTTTGTGATCCGCAAGTTGACTGCCATGTTAGTTTACAAATACACAGTCACTGCACTTTACAGTAAAATCCTGTGAATTAATTTGAGATGGCCCAATGATGTAAATGCAGCAATATCAAACACAAGGATTATTATTTCTATCACATTTGATCTTTTTGACTGCTTTCGGCTACCTTCCCGAATCCAGCTCCCTTCCCCAGAGCCAAAGTTTGGGCTACAATTCAGCTGTGTGAAATGATTTGAGACATCCTTCCGATTTGAAAGAATAACCTGTATAAATGTAAATTTTAAACGTTAAAAAAAGATTCTCCAACAAAAGTAACCCACGCACGTCTCCTGGACCTAAAGCCTGACTCTCAGTTTTAATGACTCCTCCAGGGAATATACAAGCTCCAAATTTAAACACAGCTATACATTGATGAGATTTACAGCTACAAAACATTTCTCAGTTGGGGATGTGCCAGAGAGAAATACTGCATTACGGCTCCATCTGCCAGCTAGGATCACATTCACTCTCTTCCCTCCCTAGCTCCCCCACCCATCCCCACCACCTCCTGTGGTTTGGTTAAATTAACTTCTGCTCATCATAACTTCCATTGGCATAAAGCTTTCACACAATGGGAGCGTTCGCCCGAATTAGTGCAAGAGCATTAGAAGAGGCATAACAACAACAACTTGCATTTATATAGCGGCCCTCACGCAGGGTAACGTCTCGGAGCGCTTGACTATGGCGGAGCACTTCGCTGAGCCGGTGGGAGGTGACCGTAAGCACGATCGAAGAGGAAGATCTTCAGAAGATGGGAAATGGGAGGGATTGAGAGTGTTCCAGAGTTTCAGGGCATAGTGGCTGAAAGCATGGCCATCGATGGTGGAACTGTGAGCACAGGAAGACGCAGTGGTGATAACATTCACAGGTTAAAAGGAAGTGGCTTCAAAGACCCTTCTTGCACATAATGTTCAGACGCAGCGTACAGGCAGCGATGTCAGTGGCGAACTGACAACCCAGAAGTTCACCGTTATTTTGCAGTTTGTTATTATCTAGCCTCTGAGATATTGGATCCAGATAACCACATATTAAGTGACTTGTAAATATTGGAAGAAATTACATCTGGGTCTAGATTTAAGCAAGTTCGGATGAGATGTTAAACCATGGTCCATTCTGCATGTTCAGTCAATTCACTTTACAGTATATTCTGTGAAGCGCTTTGAGACGTCTCGACGACATGATAATACGCTGTAGCAAATGCATGGATAATTATTATGATGAGTTATTTTAAAAATGACAGAACACTGTCTTCAAAAGTAAGACTGAATTAAGCAATTGTCAAATCCTGGACATGGAAATCATAAGAACATAGAGTAATAATAATGCTTGCATTTGATATGGTACCTAATTACGTCACTGAGACTTGTCAAAAGGCTTCACAAGATTTTACTGTGAAATGCGATGAAAATGTATTTGAAGTAAAACGCGACAACTAATCTATGCACAGCAGTGTCCCACAAACAGCTATATGAAGTGGATGATTATCAAGGGACTATTGGCCAGGAAACCAGGAGAAACTCCAATCTATTTTCAAATGATCATCTGGACAGACAGAATCACGCTTTTAATGTGTTATCCGAAGGACAGCACCTCCGCCAATACCACACACCCTCCAGTAGGGTATTACAGAGTCATTCTAGATCATGAGCTCAAAAATACCATCAAGTAAATCTAGACCCAGGTTGAATTTCTCCCGCATGATGGTTACAGATTTTGAGTTACACGTTGAGAGTTGAAATGCAAAGTGCTGGCTTTCTGCAAAGGAACTCCAGTTAATGAAAAAAAGCAGCAAGAAAAGCAGATGTTTATGAAAGGTGCGTGTTGGAAGTTGGATTGATCTCAACCTGAAACTGAGTGGCTTGCTGAGAATATCACTTAAAAGTAAAGAGATACATTGTCTATGATATATTTAAATATATTGAAATGGTCATTTTACAAGATGGTGCTTGGCAAAATGCCATTGCAAAAGACTATTCTGAGCGAGGCCTGCTTCCTACAATGATAATGGTTTTCACTGTACCAGCAGCCTTGAGACAATGGTGTAAAGTTACACCGAGAATAGTTGTAAGTCTTTTGCTTCCAGTTACTGCAAATAAATGTTATTTCCTGAGATTTGTCAAATTGTCAAGCCTCTTTACCTAAGTTTTCAAGAGTCAAATTCATAGGAAAAGCCTCATGTGGACCAGTGTAAAGTGAAATTCCACACTCCTCACTGAAGGATGCACCTACGACACTTTCTTAGTAAAATAGGAAAGAATAAAAAGGGGACAGCAGTTCCATTCAAACTTGAATTGCAAAGGGTCTGTCCTTGGAAGTTTGTTCACAACAACAACAACAAAATGACATCTATAGAGTGCCTTTCACATCAGCTATCGGGGCCCGAGCATGGAGAGGGGTGGAGTAGGGGTGAGGGAAGGCAGAGAGGTGGGAGGGAGACCAAAGGCACGGTCGAAGAAAAGGGTCTTGAGACCGACCTTGAAGGAGGCAAGGGAGGACGCGAGGCGAAGGGACCGTGGGATGGAGTTCCAGAGTGTGGGGGCAGAGAGGCTGAAAGCTCGGCCACCGATGGTCGGGCGGGGGACATGGAGCAGGCTGGAGCCCGATGAACGGAAGGAGCGGGCAGGTTGGTAGGGAGTCAGCGGGTCAGAGAGGTACGAGGGGGCAAGGCCATGGATGGCCTTAAAGGTGAGGACGAGGATCTTGAACTCGATCCTTTGGGGGATGGGGAGCCAGTGGAGTTGGGCGAGGGTGGGAGTGATGGGGTCACGGAGTCTGGTGCGTGAGAGTACACGAGCTGCAGAGTTTTGGATGATCTGCAGCTTGTGAAGGGAAGAGTTGGGAAGGCCGATGAGGAGAGAGTTCCCGTAATCGAGCCTTGAGGTGACGAATGCATGAGTGAGGGTTTCGGCAGCCTGAGGGGTGAGGCAGTGGCGGAGTCTGGCAATGGCAACAACATGATGTGACAGAGATGGGTTTGTTCCCAGTAACATTGCTGCATTCAAACAAACAATGTCAAGCTGCATTTCATTCCCTTCACATTCTTCTTTTGTCCACCTTATTTTGTGCATGTAGCTCAGTGGTTAGAGCACTCGCCTCGCAAGCGAGAGACCTAGGTTCGATTCTCGGCAGGGTGAAATGTTGGGCAAGTTTCTTTGCTCCAATTGCCGCTGTTTACCTAGCAGTAAGTAGGAACCCGGTTGTTAGTCAATTGGCGGATCACTTTTCCAGGGATAATAATCCCTCAAATAAAAAAAAATTATTTGGTCACTCAATCCATGACTATTTGCGGGACATTGCTGTGCATAATTGGCTGCCGCGTTTTGCCCACAAAATATTGGCAATTGATTTTACAGTATATTCTGTGAAGCGCTTTGAGACGTCTCGAACACATGATAAAAANTTGATTTTTATATAAAGTCAATTGATTTTACAGTATATTCTGTGAAGCGCTTTGAGACGTCTCGAAGACATGATAAGGCACTATTTCAAATGCAAAGATTATTATTATTACAAAGCCCTTTACCTGTATGCTGACCTGCACGGGCTGACGCTCCCCGCTTTTTGTGTGAACCACCCCCTCGGTGTCATAGATCCCAGTGTAAGAGACCACTTGGGGGTCCTTGGATGACTCCTCTAGGGAGACGAGCACTCCTCCGATCATCATCGACCTACAAATGAAATGAAATGAATTGAAGGACCCGGCTGGTTTTTCTCACACCCTTCAGTGCAAGCGCCTTTTTGGTTTAAAAAAAATATTAAAAATTGCTTCAGACACGATCAGTATTACAGTGCTGCAAACTGAGCAAACAAGATGCTTTAAAGCATTAAATAATTCAAAAATATGTTTCAGTAAATTATGAAATAATTAAGAAATAATAATTCAAATGATAATAAAAATAATTGGGTCACTCAGTCCATGACTGTTTGTAGGACACTGCTGTGCGCAATTAGCTGCCGCGTTTCGCCCACAAAATATACAGTCAATTCACTTTACGATATATTCTGTGAAGCGCGTTGAGACGGCTCAATGAGGTGATGAGGCTCTATATCAAATGCAAGTATTAATGTTATTATTAAATATCTGATCCAGTCTTGAATTTTGGAATAGGTATTAATAGGGCAAGAAACACATCATCGGTGCAGAGGATTTAAATTACATGTTTCGTGGAAACAAAAGAATAAATATTTAATAAGAGTATCACATATCTTCCCTCTCCTCCTTTGAACCAAGCACAATATCCTGCACACAATAACATCATCTTTCCCTTCCTGTCAGTGATGCAGACATGAGTCCCAATTTCATAGAAGGATAAAACAGATCACATATTAAATTTATGGTGGGGAATAAGTACAAGCAGAGGAATTAATGGTTCTTGACACCCCGGTTACAAATTCGTCTGCACCTTCTCTGCTTTATTCATTCAAAATGCAAAGATTATTATTATTACTATGCATTTTTTTGGCCCACAAAATACACAGTCAATTCACTTTACAGTATAATTCTGTGAGGCGCTTTGAAACGTCTCAACGACGTGATAAGGCGTTGTATCAAATGCAAGGATTATTAATATTATTATTATTTTGTCCAACGACCTATCTTTGCACTTGGACCGAGTCAGTCCTGGCACTGAACTGCAGTGCTAACACAATGCTTTGTCGAGCTTGAAAGAGAAGGTTACACCACGATTCTAAGAGGCGATGTGACCCACTGGAGGGTCGATGCATTATATAAGGCCACGATCAAGATCTAATCCGAAAGGCACTTGAAGTCCGGGAAAACCCTCATTTCAAAAATAATCCACACAGACCCCTTTTTTTGTTTAAAAAAAATGGGGTGCATTTGGAGGGTGGTTGCAAAAAAAAGGGTTCCTTTACATTTCGTAGGAGCTAGTAAGAGGGAGATCATTTGTGTGTGTATGTGTGTGTCTCTCTCTCTCTCTGTGCTGCAAAGAGAGATGCGGATTTAAAGGGACGATCAGTAGTTGGAGAGCCAAAGAATTAAAATCAGATCAGCAATTTAAAAGACAACCCACACACACAGTTCAAATAGCTTGCATGGTTGCAAACCCTCTCCCCGACCCACCCCAGACCCACCCACTGCCCAGCAATCAATGTACTCCATCCACCACCCCCCACCACCCCGAAGCCTTTTTTTTGCACTCACTTTGCTGAGACCACCCCTGGTTTCATCACCACCCCGATCTTGTACTTGGCTCCTGTCAGCAGTTTGATGGTGCGGTTCTGGCCGAATCGATGACCGTCCACCTTGAAGTAGACCGCCCCGTCCCCGGGTTGGATCTTCAAAGAGACGCCGATTTTAACCAAACTGGGGATCTCGCCCATGTTACAGCGAAGAGCAGACGCTTCGCCTGCGGGGGCTTCAGCTGCTAACAGGGGAGTGGGGGAGAGGCAGAGACACACACACAGAGACACACAGAGACACACACACACAGAGACACACACACACACAGAGACACAGAGAGATACACACACAGAGACACACACACACACGCACAGAGACACACACACACACACACAGAGACACACACACACACAGAGACTCACACACACAGATACACACACACAGACACACACAGAGACACACACACACACAGAGATACACACACAGAGACACAGAGAGATACACACAGAGACACACACAGAGAGATACACACACAGAGTGACACACACACAGAGACACACAGAGAGATACACACACAGACACACACAGAGAGATACACACACAGAGACACACACAGAGACACACAGAGAGATACACACACAGAGAGATACACACACAGAGATACACACACAGAGAGATACACACACAGAGACACACACAGAGAGATACACACACAGAGACACACACAGAGAGATACACACAGAGACACACAAGAGAGATACTCACACAGACACACAGAGATACCACACACAAAGACACACACACACACAGACACACTGAACCACCAGCTCTGCCCAAGCCCTTACAGCTCTTTAACCCATGAGCAATTTACAGAGCTAAATATATATATATCAATTATATATATATATATATATTATATTTTCTATGTATTATATAAAAGAGCTAAAAGAGATTTCCCCCTCCCCCTCCCCCCCCCAGCTCCCCAGCCTTCTGCTCTTCGGATACCAGGGTGGGTGGGTGTGTGTGTGGGGAAAAAAATGAGCTTAAATCCACTCTGATCTCACGCATTAAAATCCCTCTCTGTTGCAACGCACACGCGTTAACGTGGGATCCTCCAGTACAGGAGCACTGAGCCATAAACCCCCTGTAACACACACACACACACCCTCCACCCCCTCCCTCCAAGAAATGATCACATCAAATGCAAGTATTTCAATAGTCAGGGGCTGTGTAATTTTTTTTTTGCAAATCCACCTGTACCCTTTATATATATATATATATATATTTTAATAGATACATATATATATTTTATATTTTGTTTCCCCCCCAAATACACAGTCAGTTCACTTTACAGTATATTCTGCAGAACCCTCCCGAAGGCTCCATGTCAAATGCAAGGATGGTGAATATTATTAATATTATTATTATTATTATTATTATTATATTATATTAAAATATAAACAATTTCCCCTCTCCAAGAAACAAGAACCCAAATGCAAATACTTAATTATTATTATTATTGTTATTTCAATACACAGGGGTTTGCAATATTTTTTGTAAATGCCATCTGATTGCACCCCAATGTTTTTCCTTATTTTTTAAATATATATAAAAATATAAACTACCCCCTCTCTAAGAAAAACACACCAAATGGAAGCATTTCAACATACAGTGGACTTTGCAATATTTTTTGTAAGTTCCCTCTGACTCCTCCACCCACCCCGATTTCTTTTTCTTTTTTAATATAATAAATATATAAACAGAAACAATCGTTGCGAGATTCGTGAATTGAGTGTTCTCGGATACTGGAGTCGAAATAAATCACACACTGGTAAACTGCATAAATTAACAAGGGATTTCACAAAAAATAATCCCTTGTTTTCCGGAGGTTGATACAGATTTCCAGTGTTTTCTGTGTTTCTCTCTCTCTCTCTATTTCAGATTTCCTTTTTTAAAAAAAAATATTTTACCTACAAAATACACAGTCACACCACTACATGGTATATTCTGTGAAGTGCTTTAAGAGGTTGTGATGCTTGATAAGGCACGATAAAATTTTTTAAAAATGGTAACTCAATTCACGACTGTTTGTGGGACACTGCTGTGTGCAATTGGCTCCTGCGTTTCGCCCACAAAATACAGTCAATCCACTTACAATATATTCTGTGAAGCGCTTTGAGACGTCTCAATGACGTGATTAGGCACGCTATCAAATGCAAGGATTATTATTATTATTTGGATTATTTATCCACTTTTGATTCTTTTGAATTCTGTAAATTCAGCAACAAATTACAAATATTCATTGGGATAGCAAACTTTTAGACAGTGCATCTGTTTTTTTTACCTATTAAATATTTGCATTTCAATGTGGGACACTGCTGTGCGCAATTGACTGCTGTGTTTTGCCTGCAAATATACAGTCAATTCATTTTACAGTATATTCTGTGAAGCGCTCTGAGATGCCTAGAAGATGTGTAAAGTGCTATATCAAATGCAAGGATTATTGTTATTATGATTATTACCGAGCAGTAAGTAGGAACCCAGTTCTTAGTCGATTAGCGGATTGCTTTTTCGGGGATAATAATCCCTTCAAAAAAATAATAATAATGTGGTCACTCAATTCCACGACTGTTTGTGGGACACTGTTGTGCGCAATTGGCTACCGTGTTTCGCCCACAAAATGTACAGTCAATTCATCTAACAGTATATTCTGTGAAATGCTTTGAGACATCTGGAAGACGCAATAAGGCACTATATCAAATGCAAGGATTATTATTATTCACTCAACAGCACTTTCACACGGAATAGGTTTCAGGATTCCAATTGTAGAACGATTGAGTCAATTAACTACATGATTAGTTTAAACTTGATTTAAAAAAAACCTACACACCCAAAATATAAAATCCTATGAAGCGTTTTGAGACACGTGATAAGGCACTATATCAAATGCAAGGTATTATTATCATCATTATTATTATTATATCTCTCGTACAACAAATGCATATATGCTGTAAAATTTTACCTGTTGTAGATTTACTGTATTAACGTAGCATTTCAGTGCATCATGAATTTACTGATTGTAGGAAATTGCTGAATTCAGTCTCCAATTCATAAAAAACAACTTACAGAGAAAAACGGTTTCAAAGTTAAAGACGATTTGAGAATATTCTAAATTTTGGACCCTCTGAAATGCAACATTGTTAGAGTAAATCTACACCCAGGAGGAATTTCACCCTTCGCATTGGGCAGACACCAATTAACAACAACACAATGATATTTACATAGCACCTTTCACATTGGAAGGGCATCCGAGTTCCAGCAGTTCGCTGAAAAATACACAATCATTTCACTTTACAGGAAAAATACACGGTGAAGCACTTTGGGACATTTTATCGTGCTGAGGTGTTGTATCTAATACATGGGGTTATTATTTTTTTTCAGTTCTTGGATCATCTTGTGTTGGAATCATCTAGTTCCCACCTTGTGAGTCTGAAACTTCCTCTTCCTGCCGAATGACAGGTTTCGGTGGTGATAATGAAACAAGATAGACAATCTTGTATCTGCATCCTGTCAAGAACAAAGAGGTAAAGCATTCAGTGAGAAGGAATGAGGCCAATAATCTCAGTACTGTGATACCTTTAGAATCGCATTTTATTCTTGTTTCACTTTCAATGCTTCCTGTTTGATTTCGAGTAGAGAGCAAATTCGGACTTTTCAAACCAAGTAGGTTGTCCGGGTCACTCAGCACTTAACGCAGTTAAGTTAAGTTAAGTGAGAAGAATGAGGCCAATAATCTCAGTAATTATAATAATAATAAATACTAATCACACTTAAACTGTGTTGCCCACCAGGAAGCTTGCAAGGAGTTCCTGGCACCTACCATCCACCTAGTGAGGGCTCAAGCCCACACTTGTTGGACTTCAAATGACCAACCAGTGACTATTCTATAGGTGGATTGCCTGAATGATATGATCTACCTGACCTGCTCCATCTGCCTGTTCCTACACCTGCTGCACTGCCACTCCTGACTGGTTGCTCAAAGTATGTGTGCGCGCCTTTAGCTCTTATAGTTGGTGGTACAATCGGTGATGTTGAGACTTTGACTGTTCCCTAAACTTTGTTGACCCCTACGCATGGGCCTTGGCAGCACTCTCACCTCTGAGTCAGAAGGCTGTGGGTTCAAGCCCCACGTCAGGACTTGGAACTCATATATAATCTGGGTTGACATTCCAGTGAGGTGCTGGGGTGTGCTGCATTGTCGGAGGTGCCGTCCTTTGGATGAGACATTAAACCGAGGTCCTGTCTGCCTGTTTGGTTGGATGATAAACATCAAAAAGAAAAGAGAGTTTCTCTCGGTATCTTGGCCAACAACTCCCCAATAAAACTGGTCATTTACTTCATGGTACACATTGCTGTGTTCAAATTGCCTGCTGCATACTCTGACAAACACCACAAGCACTCCACTTTACAATAAATCCTCTAAATAACTTTGAGCTGCCTTCCTGACATGAAAGGTTCTTTATTAAGTGTAAGAATTGTTAATATTATTTTAGCTAAGATCAAGGGTTGTTTTTACTGCTCGTAGTTACGGAAGTCAATTTGGCTTTAGAGATCGTATTGAGATATTCACAGCATTGTTATTGATTTTAGTGCCATGTCAACACTTTGATAGTTTGAGGGACCCGGTTACGATCATTTTGCCGCTGTTCTTGATGGTAAAGTGGTAAGACGCAATGCAGCGTGCGTGAGTGTTTTTTGATCATTGTGTGCGTTTTACTTCTTTGGTTACTGCTTGTTGGTTTTCTGCTAAATTGATGTGTAACCCCCCAAAAATGAATCATTTATTTCACATCTGTCTTGTGGGATATTGGAGACCTGTAGCTTAGTAGTTAGAGCTCTCGCTTCGAAAGCAAGAGGCCCTGGGTTTGATTCCCAGCAGAGCGAAACATTGGGCAAGTTTCCTTACTCCACACGCCTCTGTTCACCTCGCAGTAAGTAGGAACCCCACCGGGTTGTTAGTCGATTGGCGGATTGTTTTTTTNGTGGGTAATAATCCCTTTAAATAAATACATAATAATTTGATCACTCAATCCACAACTGCTTGTAGGACTTCAGCACCTTGGGACGTACTCTCAACGTGAAAGGCGCTATACAAATGTAATCTTGTTGTTGTTTTAGGACACTGTTGTGCGCAATTGGCTGCCGCATTTTGCCCACAAATATACAGTCAATTCACTTTACAGTGTGTTCTGTGAAGCGCTTTGGGACGTCCTCCTGACGTGAAAAGCGCTATATCAAATGCAAGGATTATTATTATTATCACTCAATCCACAACTGCTTGTAGGACTTCAGCACCTTGGGACGTACTCTCAACGTGAAAGGCGCTATACAAATGTAATCTTGTTGTTGTTTTAGGACACTGTTGTGCGCAATTGGCTGCCGCATTTTGCCCACAAAATGTACAGTCAATTCACTTTACAGTATATTCTGTGAAGCGCTTTGAGACGTCTCAAAGACGTAATAATATCAAATGCAAGAATTATTATTATTAATGCTCTGCGCAAATTGGCTAGCAATAAACAGTCATTTCACATTACAGCAACTGTCTGTGAAAAGCTTTGAAGTTTAAGGTGCTATGTCAAATTCTGTTTGCCCTTAGAATACAGAGTTAAGATCCACTTTACAGTAAATTCTGTGAAGCGCTTTGAGATGTTCCCACTGCCCCACGTGAAAGGTGGAATATCAAATTGAAGGATGATTATTATTATTATACTGCATTGTGATTGTGCTATTAATATTCTGCTATTTCACACAAAAGCTGCAGAGGGTGCTGTTCTTCCTCAGAGGCTGCTGCTTAACTCCCAACGAGTGGGAACGATCGCTCAGAGGGAAGGGATGTGGGTCAGAGCTGTGGGCAGGAAGATGGTGGCAAAGCCTTGAGCATTTCATCCTGAGCTGTGTTGCCCACCAGGAAGCTCGCAGGGAGTTCCTGGTACCTACCATCCACCACGTGAGGGCTCAAACTCACACTTGTTGGGACTTCAAATGACCAACCAGTGACTATCCTCCTTGGGCTGGAGGTAAACGGGGTATCCACGGAGCCGAACTGGCTCCAAGGTGACATGTTTGCCAACGGAATGTCAGTTGAGCCCACGTTGAGCCCACCCTTTTTGGTCTGAACCAGGCGGGTCCACAGTATTCCAGGGCACGGCTGGTGACAGCACGGCCAGCCTGGCTTACCGGCAGGACCTGGAAGGGCAGACCAGTCACCGGAGGCAGGGAATCATCCCACTGCACTCCTGCTAACCCTGCAAGCCAAAGCCCTAATGGGTAGGGTGGTCCCAGCTGGACAAGCAGCAGGAAATCTTGCTGGACAGCAACATCAATGGTAAGCTACGAGGTTTTAGCTGGTTAGACTCCAGCAGTTACCCCCAACGCAACCTTGCCAACCTGTGCTTAATACTTCCAGACTTAGGAAAACAGGACGTGTCCCTCCAGGGAGAGAGTGTGCGTTCCATTCCAACAATTTATGTCTGGGATTTCCATGTGAGGGTGGGATGACTGGAATTCTCAGTTTAGTTTGAGTACCCTTAAGCACGGTGACGGTTTTCCAAATGGAAATCTAAACTCCTGATAATTTAACCCGAGCTTAACTTGTCACCACCACTTAAATCAACATGGTGTCAATATCCAAGCATCATTGTGGGCGAAATGCACCAGCCAATTGTGCACAGCAGTGTACCACAAGCAGTTGTGAATTGAGTGACCTAATTTTTTTTGGGGGGAGGGGAGGAGGGGATTATTACACCTAGAAAATGATGACTATCATTAAATTATTATTGCATAACAATAAACTATTACCACTGGAAAATGGATGACCAGCACAGGGGAGATACTGCCTACTCCCCCACCCCCCCACCCCTTAAATCGTCTCAGCTGCATGAATGCAATAGAAACATAAACCGAAAAATAAATGGCAATTAAAAACGAATACCCTGAAACCCCCCCAAAGTGCTTCCTCTCTGGTTTGCTTCCCTGAGTGCGAGTGAGCAATGCCTTTGCAACCGTTGTGTCAGTTCGGGGAAGTGACTCACTTTGGCAGTGTCACTTCTGAGTTTTTTTGGAACAAAACTGGCGGAAACTGCGACTTTTCTTACTGCCTGTGATGTCGCTGTCAGAGCTTAAAAGTGCCAGAGTTCCCAGAGCAGAGCAGAGCAGCCCAGAGCATGGAACTGGAACCCAGGGTTATCAGGGAGGGTTACCTCGTCAAGAAGGTAAGATGTGTGTGTGTGTGTCTGTGGGTTGTGTGTGTGTGTCTGTATGTATTGTGTGTTGTATCTGTGTGCGTTCTGTGTGTGTTGTGTGTGTCTGTGGGTTGTGTGTGTCTATGTATTGTGTGTGTGTGTCTGTGGGTTGTGTGTGTGTCTGTATGTATTGTGGGTTGTGTCTGTGTGTGTTGTGTGTGTGTCTGTGTCTGTGGGTTGGATTTGTCTATCCCTTGTTACTGGTTCCACTTCTCTTAAAATCCCTGGACTCCCACAACGATCGCCTGTGACATGAACTTGTGTGAAATTGACATGAGTTTAAATAACCCTGACTGTCCTTCTTTGCAACTCACATGCCCGTTGAGCGTTTAAAAGAAGAAAGAACCAAGGATGCACCTGCAATATTGTCTCCTGTGGGGTTGTTTTTCTGTAGGACTCTGGGTGGGTTGTGGGTGAGAAGGAACTTTCTGCACATTATTTTTTTAGTGAGAACATTGGAGTTTCTATTTTACCTCGCACAAGTGGACTGACGTGCTTCCCAGTTTAACTTTCCATTTGTGTTGTCTTGCCTGGCTATTGAAGAGAGACCATTTGAGAAAGAGTCTTGAGCAAGCAGTGCAATTGTACCCCTCACTATATTGACCTGTTCTTGTGACCAGTTATATCTGGGGGATTGATGACCAGGACACTGGAGAAACTCCCTTCTCTTTTGAGAAGCTAGGAGCTTTCCCGTCTTAATGTCTCAGGTGCATTATGCAACATTATTAGAAACACATCTGAAAAATAAATTGCATTTAAAAAAACAAAATCCCAAAGAATTCCCTTGATGTCTCCCTAAGCGCAGGAGAACTTTGCCTTAACCTTATAATTATTTATAATCGTTCCATAGGACTTGATCAGAGAAAGGTAATGAAAGGTTTTAAGGTATTTAAATAATTATATTGGATTGACTGTGTTTGCCCCTCAAAATATACAGTCAATACACTTTACAGTATATCCCTGTGAAGTGCTTTGAGCCGTCTCAAAGATATGATAAGGCACTATATCAAATGCAATAATTATTTTTATTAATATTGTTCAATCGTTATTAATATTGTTCAATCGTTTTCTGCAAAATATTTTGAATGAAAACAACAACAATAATTTGCACTTATTTAGTGCCATTCATGCGAGGTAGATATTGGAGCGCTTGACAGTGGTGGAGTCTGACAACGTGAACATGAAATGATAATTCTTGCTAGGGTCGAGTTATCAGACGCCTTTCATGTTGGGAGAACGTTTCAAAGCAGTTATCCTACTCTTTTTGAAGGAGCATTCCACATTATAAAGCGCTTTGAACATTCTACTTCGTGAATGGTGCTATATCAGTGCAAACTGCTTTCGTTCCTCTGCCAAAAAAGAGGAGAGCATGGATGATTTAAAGGTATTTATTTACTAAATACAAAGCTCCGAGACACCACCCCTCGTGAAGGGTGCTATATAAATGCAAGTTGTTGTTATTACTGCTAAAGGTAATTACACCATTAAACTCAGACCTTCCACGAGACCAATGAAAGCTTATCATGGACATGACATTACCCACGATCTCTGAGGAAAAGTTCTGCATCGATGATCACAGTGGAGCAAAGCTCCAAAATATTTGTCCATCCCCACTCTAATAGAACAAAGGGAGTTGGGGTGGGGGGCGGGAGGAGATTGAGGTTAGGAGGAATTACTTCATGTGAAGGGTGGTTAACAGTTGAATTCACTACATTTGACTCCTGTGTGCTTCAATAGAATCACTAATTTCAAGAACTAGACAGGTACCAGAGATGTAATAAATAGGATTAATAAATAGAGCATTATTTATTAATACAATATAAATACAATACAATTTACATTCAGATAGCGTCTTTCAGGTTTTACTCAGCTGGATGGACATTGGAGCTGGGGGGAGAGGGCAAACGATGACCAAAAGCACAGTCAGAGTTTTAAGGCTGGCTTTGAAAGTGAGGAGAGGTGAAACAAGTCAGAGGGCTTCATCTTTTAAAGATCTGGATCACATTCTTCTCAACACGATTGTTCTAAGGGACCAACTTGAGCTGTGTAGACCTCTTTATCTACTGTGCGCAATTGGCTGACGTGTTTCACCCACGAAATACACAGTCATATCAAATGCAAGGATTATTATTATTATAATTTAGCGCATTGAAACCTCAGAATCACCCGTGTTCTTCCCTGAACACTTTACTGCCCATTGGAAGGAACAGATCCCACAAGGGTGCATGTTTATTCACAAGATCGGTTCAGATGAGGAAGGCCCTTCAGCCCATTTGATTTCATCGTTACAGAACACCCACCCTATCGTCCTCCTATCACATCATCAAGCTTTTTTTAAAATGAGTTCCAGCATCCAAATGTAACCTTGCTCCTGAAGTCAGTGTCCTTCAATTTAAACTCAAATGGCTCCGAGATGCAATCCAGAGTTTGATTTTTTTTGTTTGATGTCAGTTTTCCGTGCAATTAAACTTAGACACTGAGAAGGACAGAAAATAAAAGCGGAAAATGAGGGTTAGAGTTGCACAACTTCAAACCAAGTTTTATGGTTATTCATGCCTAATTTTGACTCGTATATATCTATTTCCAGCAGCCCGTAAATAAAGTTGATCATTCACATCGTGGTTGTTTGTGGAGGTGTGACTGTGCGCAAATTGGCTGCCGCGTTTCACCCCTCAAGGGAAACAACAGTCTGCGGGTGGCAACTCGTGTGGGTGGCCAATTTTATAGCAATAATAATTCCTAAGTTAACTTTCAAGTGAGTGGGACGTCCGAAAATGCTTCACAAGTGTAGGGGATGGTGTGTGTTTTGTGGTCAAAAGTAAACTCTTAAAGTAACCTCCTCTCTAAAATGTAGCAGCAGTTTTGGTGGTCCTCCCCCACAGTCTGCAGATCATCCAGAACTCTGCAGCCTATGTCCTCTCCAGCACTAAGCTCTGCGACCCTATCACCCCCACCCTTGCCCAACTCCACTGGCTTCCCATTGCACAGAGAGTACAGTTCAAGATCCTGGTCCTCACCTTCAAAGCCCTCCACGGTCTCGCTCCTCCCAACCTCTGCGACCTCCTAACCCCCTCCCATCCTGTCCCCTCCCTCCGCTCAGCGGGCTCCGGCCTGCTTCACGTCCCCCGCCTCGCTCGCCCCACTATTGGCGGATGGGCCTTCTGCCACTCTGCACCCATCCTCTGGAACGCTATCCCGCAGTCCCTCCGTCTCACTCCCTCCCTCGTCACCTTCAAGACCCACCTCAAGACCCTCTTCTTCGACCGTTCTTTCAATATCCCTGCTTCCCCCCACTGCCCTCCACCCTCTCCCACCCCAACCCTCGGGTTGTGTCCGTAACTCTGTCTGTCCAGGGCTTTGGGACGTCCTCCCGACGTGAAAGGCGCCATACAAATGTAATTTTGTTGTTGATGTTGTTGTTCATGTTGAGGTTTTCAATTGACAGTTTTAAACTCATAACTCCAGGACAGTACTCTCTTGTATTTAGGCACAGTCCACCTTTGGTAATAGATGCACTCATTCCAAGTACAGTGGATTCCACTTCACGTCTTTTGACAGACGTAGTCAATGAAGTAGAGTAGTTGGACAGAGGAAGTGTTCAGAGCTGATGTGTGCTGTAGAGACTGCTCATTGTACAACCAGTTTTTAAGGCAGCAAAACACTTCCTCAAGTAATGTGTGCCAATCTCCTATTACTAATACTAACAATTATAATAATAATATTTCTTGCATTTGAAACTGCCTCCACGGTAGACACTCCATTAAACAGTGAAATCAGAACTGTCTATTCATCCTCCTACTTCACATTGACAGTCCTTGCATTTGATATAGCACTTGTAACGTCGAAACAACTTGAAGAGCTTCGCAGATTTTTTTTGTAATACGATTTTTTGTATTCGTAGATGATCGTGGCCGCCCGATTTGCGCGCAGTCTAAGATCATGACCACCCCCCCCCAAACCCACCCCGCCCCATTGTAATCTTCTTGAATATACACAAACTGAGTCGTTGCTGTACGAAATTCGCTACCACATTCACCTTCATTTTGCATCACAGTAAAAATCCTATGAAGCCCTTTGAAACGTTTCGATGCGGTGATAAGACGCTGTAATAATATTAATCCATGCATTTGATATAACGCCTTGTCACGTCGTTGAGACATCTCAAAGCGCTTCACAGAATATACAGTAAAGTGAAGTGACTGTGTATTTTGTGGATGAAACGCAGCAGCCAATTGCGCACAGCAGACGTCCCAAAACGTACCTGACAACCTCACTTGGCACCCGAGCTAGGGATGGGAGTTGACACTGATGCCTATTGTAATTGGAAAGCCTCAAACCAATCGTGCAGGCAGTCTAAAACCTGATGGTGAAATGAAGCAGAGAAAGCAGAATAAAGTGTGACATGTGATATGATCATTATCACAGCTGATAACATCACAATGGTTTGGCTCGAAGGGCAGGAACAACACAGAACAAGACAATAATCTCATCCGGTTGATACTGGAGGTAAAACATAGATCAAGAGGTGGTTTGACTGATATCAAGTGGCCTATTTTACTTTTAGTGCACGGAAGTAACAGAACAAAGAACAGATTTGGGACTTGGAATTTCTTTCCTGTTATCTTTTGCTCCCGGCTCGAGTACTTATTAGGATTTGTTACTTATTTAAAACGAACTTGCTGCTGACTTGCCTCTAAAGGCTGGGTCTTGCGTGGCTTTCCCAAACCTACGACAGAAACGTATATCCATTTATATTGTAGTTCTTATTTGGGGTCAGCCTGGCTCAGTGGTAGTACTCTCATCTCAGAGTGGGTTCAAGCCCCACGTTGGACAGGCTGACACTCCATTACTGTGCCGGGGATGGGGGGGTGGGGGGTTTGCATCGTCAGAGGTTCCGTCCTTCAAATGAGAAATTAAACTGAGGTCTCATCTGCCTGTTCAGCTGGATGTTAAACATCCCATGGCGCTAT